AGCCTGAAAGACACAGCTGCAGGTACACTCAAGGGTCCATAGGCACAGAGAGCAGGGGAGAAGATGAGTGGGGGTCTGTGGCTCACACTCTCTTGTGAAGAATTAGGTGGTCTCAAATGGCACTGGTAGACCAGCTCTGACCAGCCATTCCTCAGTGCTAAGTTCTTTCTACCATATTCTTTTATTTTAGACTTCTACAGTTTGTTAAGATCAATTTAATTTTTGACCTGATCTCTGCTGTTAAAGATATTCTTCTTGCAGCCATCTTTTTTTGGGGGGGAGCTTGTTTGCTGGTATAGGAAAAGTAGTTTGTTGGTTGTAGGATGGGGTTAATCCTTATTAATACAGTTTCTTAAATTTTTCAGCTCCTTGAGGAATCTTTGAGCTGCTCGGATTTTTGACAGAGGATTCATGCCAATAAGAAATGTAAAATCAGGATGTCACAAACCTTCTCATTCCTATGCTGTCACACCATGCTGCTCCCCAGAGAAGGGAGGCAAGGGAGACAGCATACCTCTAGGTCTCAGTAAGGAAAAAGGGAAAGGTTAGTTTAGATTCTCTCGCTCCATAAATGCCTGTGTCAGGTCTAATAATTCAGCACTTGAGGGCTTCAGTTTGTATTTAATTAATAACATTGGTAGACTTTGTGCCTTCTGTCTAACCATGGATGCTTTTGATCATCAGCAAACAGAAGATAGAAGTCATGCCAGAACAAATAAATTATTTATGTGTGGTTAAAAAAGAGAAAGAAGCTGTTCCTGCCCCTTTACAAATGCAGCATGCAGGTTCTGCAGAGCATTAGGTTCTAGCACTGTTTGGACTTTTTTTCTTTCAGCCTTCACTTTTCCAGCACTACTGATTCTCCTTAATGAAAGAATAAACAAAAACACAGGTTGACTTAAAGGAGGATTTTTTAAAAAAGGGAATATCTGAAATATAAGCTCACAGTTGAGCTTAGTGGCTGTCAGTCTGACTTTCCTTGGTGTTGTGGTTCCTTAGAAATGTGGTGCTGTCTTCCCCTTTACTCATTTCAGGAACTTGACCTTTTCTTCATCCCTCCTCGTTAAAGCCAAAGACATACAAATCAGTTTGTTTATTTTTCTTTCTCTGAGATGTAGCTTTTTCTCTTCTACACATTTATGTATTAATTGCCTGGAAAGCAGCAGATAAGTAGGGAGCAGATTCTGGTCAAGATTCAATGTCTAAAATTGTCCCATAGCTACCTTGCACAACAACTGCAAGATGCTTTTTGAAGTTAGTGCTGCTTATGCTGAGTACTTCAGTGCTCATCCAAGAGGAGTAGCTGTGAAGTGGTCTCAGTATCAGGGACAAAATGGAATGGCTGGAAAACGTGGCTGGGGAGCTTCTGGCAGGCTAGCTCAGCCCTCAGAAATCCTTTGGGGTCACAGGTCTTCTTGTCAGGGAGGAAAAAACTGGAAATGTAACATTTTGTCACATAAGCCAGAGTCCCATAGGCACAAATATATATCACATTTTTGTGTGATTATAGATTCCTCTTTAAGAACAGTTTCTGGCAGAACGTTCACTTCCTTTTGCTGTTCATGGTGACAAATTGTTGGAGATTTTATTGCTGTCTTTGTATGAGGAATTCAAACTTGAGAACTGGGAGAGATTTGTTTTGTACCTTACAATTATCATGTCAAACTTTTAGTCCATTTAGATGTCATTTGTGTTTTAGCAGGGTATGCCATTCAAACTGGAGATTGTGGATGCTTGGCATTTCTCTCTCAAATTACACAGGTCATAAGTGTGTGCCATAAGCAGCCAAATTCCTCAACTTTTCAGGTGTCACGTGCAATGAGATTGCAATATATGTCTGTTCTGGAATCTGGGGTGAAGTAGAGAGGAAATGCTTAAAATTTGAAACTGAAAAATCAAAACTTTCACTTTCTGTGCCATTTTCTGAAGGAGCACAAACCTGGTTTGTGTCTGGAGCTGTGGCTGCCAGTGAAGCCATCCTGTCTTCAGACAGCTGTGACAGGCAAAACGCAGCATCCCGTACCGAGCTGCTCAGTACATGCAGAGTTTTAACATCATTCAGGAACATTTGCTTTCTCTGTTTGACAAACTCCCATGCATTCCTTGGAATGTATTTTAGGTGCTCTGCAGAGAGCATTCCCATGGCCTGTTTGAGGCAAATCCCAATATTTCCTGAAGGGTCCTGGAATACGCCAGATGCAGTTCAGAGCTGAGACAGAACAGCCATGCTCCTGGAGAGTCTGGCAGACAGCATTTCCCTGTCACTGCTGGACACAGCTCTGGCTCGCTCTGATTTATTGAAGTGGCAAAATGCATGAGCTTACAGCATTCATAATTTCTTAATATTTCCAAAACGGAATTACTTTCAAGATTTATGGGAGCAAAATATCTTCTAGCTTGCTCCCATTTTTTTCCCAGAACTGTTCTTCCTCCTTCTTAAATGAAGCAAAAGTCTGAGTTAAAAGTCTGTTTCTCTAGCCCTGTATACAGGAGTATTAAATATTACCAAATAATAGTAGCTAGTCTAAGGCTATTTTTTTCTTGCTAGAAAAATCCCTAAATTTATTTGTACAAATACAATAAAAAGGCCAATGATCATTTCACCCTTTCTTTGGAATCACTTTGGTGCCCTAGTTGTCATATGCAGAAACGATACCATAGGGCATTAGATCAGTCATGCCTTGAGCTTCAGCTGATTTTGGGGACTCCCCTGGGGTCCAGGGAGTCTTAGGAGGATCTGACTTCCCTCCTGGTTTTACCAGGCACCTTTTGTAAATGGAAATCTGCATTAGGGAGAGGCATTTCTTACTCCACATCAGACTACTGTAAATTGTCTTTTCCAGATGTATCACTTGCAAACAGGCCAGTTATTTGCATATATAAATAACACCAGCTTCTGAATTATCCCTGACCTTATAGCCTGTACCTTCTTTCTCATGCAGTGCTTTTGGGCAGATGAACTGAGCTGGCAAAGGTTTCATTTCACTGCACCTCTTGAATCCTCTTGTTTCTTGAGAAGAGACTAAAACCTGCTCATATATGCATTGGGAGACTGCACGTCACAGCAGCAACCAGAGTAGCTTGGTGACCTTACAAAGCAGCCCCAAGGTGCTGGTGAGCCCCAGGCAATGCTGCCATCCCTCACTGCAGCTGCTGCATGGGGAGAACAGGGACCACTGTGTGGGACCTGGCTTCTGCTGGGAGTTCAAGGGGTGGCTGTAGAGGAAGGACTGTGAGCATCTGTGCTGTAGCCCTTCAGATTATAAAAGCTCTTGCATTGCATGACAGTCCTGCAAAGATTCCTTCTGTTGATGTTGGAAGGAGGTGGAGGTAAGTCCCTGGAGAACCCCTGGGAAACATAATGATTATATTTTGGTGCACCAAGATGTGTGAGAAAACACTGAACTAATTTGTCAGATTATTGAAGTTTTCAGGATATTTTCAGAATAAATGTGTTACAGTTAATACTGCATTGTTCTTCATTTGTTTTTAAATAGGCCTGTGGGGTGTTTTTACTTAAAAGCTTCAGAAGCTCTAACATACCTCCCCCACCTTTTCCCAGATAAAGTTGTATATATACTTTTGTATTCTGAGCTCTGGAAGAAACATTCCTTTCCTTCTAGATCAGCCATGTCATCTGTGCATCTTTCTTTTATGGTTATAGATGATCTTATTAAAGATTGCATGAATGGATGTGAAGCAGTATGCATGGGTGAATCTGAGTCTTCTTGTTTTGTTAAATTCTCTTGGTCTCTTTCCCCTTTACATGGATTTCTGCATCTGTGATTTACTGGGCATCGATGATCTTCACTTTGATCAGTTTATAATTTAGATTTCATTCCATCCTTTCCTCACTGTGCTGCTATTTGAAATTGTTGCTCTGTACCTGGCTGTGGTATAGTGTAGATGAGTTTATCCTAAATCAGGTAATTCAAAGGTTATCTGCCTGCAGTAAGAGTTGCATGCTGAGTACAGAAACAGCCTGAAGGGAGAGCTAAACCCATGGGTTACATCTGTCCTGCTCCCATGTGTAGGTTGGCCAAGCTGGATCTACTTCAGGGGCATGTACCTTGCTCTGTAGTGGAGGTGTTTTCTCTGACTCTGAACATGTAGTGCATTCCTTTTTGTGGTGGGATTGATTTTGATGCAGAACATCTCTGCTACTGTTTTGATATAATTGAATGAACAGATTTCTAATAGCATTAGCGTACTTTCTAGTATACTTGATACGCTCAGAAATGGTCCCATATGGAAGTTAATGTTTCTATATTTGCTAATTGTTTCCTTTTCTCTGGACACTGTAATAATAATTTCTAGAAGAGACACATTTTTACTAGCTGCTGTGTTTGTGTTTTGAGGGTATAATTAGGATAATGTATTTCCATAATGACATGGTTAAGAAGGACTAGGTCTCTCTTTTGTAAGAGATTCTGGAGAGATCATAACTGTTTGGTTTGGCAGGAACCTCTCTTGAATCATTTATGTGTTAATGAATGCTGAAGAAGGCACTGAATTTCCATTTCCTTTCTCTGTAAACTACAAGCTGCTTCATGATCTCCTGAACTGTTTTCTTGTCTGTGTGGTGATAGCTGCTGTGTCTGTGCACGAGTGAGGCCAAAGCAGAGTCCTCACACACTCACAGAGCACGTAAACTGACTTGGGCTCACAAAGCTGGAAGTCAAACTACCTAAACCCTGCTTGCAATTTATAATTTATTGTAGCTAAATTAAAAGCCAAACAGTACTGGGGCAATCTTAAATTGTTGAGTAGAAATTATTGCCAGGTTCACGACTTGAGTGATTTGAGTGCCCTTGTGGCACAAATTCTGGCAGGTTTGTTTCACTGCAGTCATCTTTGGGTAAAAGTAAAATCTTCTACATTACTCTGTTGCCAGTGACAGTGTAGAATCAGCATTTAGGTATGGATTCTCTCAACATTCCTGCAGAAGTTTATCCTTCCTAGTTCAGGAGTTAATTTCTTTCTCCTTTTGGTTTTCTCAGGTTCTCGAAGCCGGCACCAATGTTCTTGGACGATTCCTTCAGGAAATGGGCACGTATCAGGGACTTTGTACCCCCCTTTGGAATTAAAGGACAAGGTATGAGAAAACTACAGCTGTTGGAGAAGAAGGTGGTCTGCAGATTCTTGCCCCATTTTCTTTTCTGTTTTGAAAACTCAGGTGGTCCTTTGGGCTCAGTTTATTTCCCCTGTTTGAGAGAATTATTGTATATGTAGTGCTCAGAAATGCAGAAGGGTTTTTACAGCTGGACCGTGGACCTCGGAGGCTGGCCTTAGGGAAGATGGTTTAGTACATGTGGAGAGTCAGTGCAATTGCAACAGCAATTTAGACCAGTGACCACATTCTAGAAGAAACATTTTGACACTGGCTGCCAGAAGACCTTGTAGCAGCTTTGCTGACCGCAGCAGAGGGTTCAAACTGGTTTAAAGAACCTTTAAGTCAGTAATTCTCTAAAGAACAGGAAAGATGCCTTGGGCTTGACCACTGATACAAATCTTCATTTTCTTATCATAGAATTTTATAGTTGGTCTACTTATTTCCTTATATAACAAGTAAGAAAAGTATGTTCAGATGCTTTGGTGATAATTTTAATATGCCCTGTCCTCCAGCTGGAGTGAGGCAAAAGGGGCTGTGTCTCAGGTATGCTGTGGGAAAGCAGGAGTAGTGGCTGCTGGATGAGATGGGAGCCAGTAGCCCACCCAGAAGATGATCTGGTTTGGGGTGACAAGCTCCTACTTGAGCCACAGCCTCTCTGTCTGAGTGGTGGTGGAGCAGAAGGCTTGTGCTCACTGCAGTGACTTGCTGCAGACTATCTGAGTATTTAGTAAGTATCTGAGTATCTGTGTATTTAGTAAGTTTTTGTAGCATTGCATCAACTTGGAATTTTTTTTTCCACTAACAAACTCAAGATTACAGATAATCCTGTAGGAATTTAAATACCTGGTGGAGAAATAACTGCAGCCACAGAAAGCTTGGCTCTGTGTCTCTCCCTGGAAGCAGGTGTGGTAGTTGTGGAACAATCTCTGATCAAATCAAAGGCTCTGCTGACAAATTGCTTTTGGCTTGCATCAGTTCCCTTCTTTGTTTTGTCCATTCCTTGTCCAGTCAGTCTTTGCAGCTCAATAGGAAGCTAATTGCTGTCCTCTAAATCAGCCAGCAGAGTTTGCAGCAAAGAACTGACAGTGGCAGCACAAGTGGGAGGCTGCTGTGACCACAGGAGGGCTTGTCCCCTTCTAACCAGCACACAAGGTGTACAAAGCTAGGGCAAGATCCCTGGCGATTGTGGAGGTGGGATTTGCAGGTTACATGTGATGTCAGCTAGACCTAATAAAAATCATTCCATTAAACTGAATCCAAATGAAGAAATTCACCAAAAGAGAATGACAGAATGGCTCTGGCAGCCTTCTCTCTGGGTTTGTTGCCAGCTTGTATCACCACTGCAATGTTATGTAAATCTGGTGTTTTATATTGGATTTCCTCTGTTAAAAAGAGAAATGAGAAATTGCCATTATTTAAATGGCTGTGAGCTGAAGCCATGGGACGGAAACCGTTGAATAGGTTATTTTTTTAACACCCTCCTGGGACTGAATTTTGTGCCAAGTTTCAGTCTGGAGCAAGTTCTGTGTGTGGGAGGGTTGAATTATAAATCTGTGTAGCCCCGGATTTCTAATGGCCGTGCTGACAGGCTGTGAGTCCTAGCGATGCGAATGGCGCCCTTTCATGTTACACATCACTTGGAATTCTTGCATCAGTCTTTTCTGGCTGTCCCATGGGATGCTTTTGGGCTCAGACAACTGATTGGATGATGGAATCAGCACCTCATTAGGGCTTTCAGTCAGGGCAATCTAATGATATCCAAACAAATGATCCAGGCAGGCAGCGTGGAGCACAGTCACGTGCTGGTGCAAGGTGAAGACTGTCAGGGCTGGGATGTGCATGGGAAAAGGAGTAGTCAGGGTGGCTGAGGAAGTGTAGAGAGATGTGGCTGTGTTGAAACAGACGGGGCAGGAGCTCTGCTCTGTGTGTTGGGCTGCCCCATGACACTGTCAGCTGGGATTTCCGACATGCACTGGGAAAGGTGGTTGGGGTTTATAGACAGTAATAGATAGATGGTAATGGAAAGACCTTGCTGAGAACTGTGGTGAATATCACCTGCTGTTTTTAAGTCACTGTAATCTGTTCCAAGTGCAAAATGGCTTTTTGTTTGCTTGGGTCTTTTTGGGTTTTTTGGGTTTGCTTTTTATTGTATTTGAAACACAGCTACAGGATGAGCTCACTTTCAGTGATGCTGCATGTTCCAAGGAACTTCTAGAAACTAATCTGTGGTAGCTTGAAAATGCTACGGTTATGAAACCAAGGTATTCTTAGTAGCTTGGGAGCCAATCCACCATTTCTACTTTCTTTTGTAAAAGTTTCTATTCTTACCTAAGTTTTCCTTTGCTTTGTCTCTGAAAAAAAGCTGAATTAAGTCCTTTTTAATCCATCACTTTGTGTTTGTTGGTCCAAGAAAGGACAGTTCCAAGATTGCAAGAATGAGTCTTGCAATATTTAGGGGAAAGCAGCTTTTGAGGAATATTGTCTTCTGGGCTGCACTAATTTGCAATAACGCGTCTCTATAAATTACACGTAAAAGAGTAGAAATGGCTCAGAAATGTTCAGGGCAGGACTACTGCTCTTTAAAGGTTATCATATCAAAGAGAAGGCAGTATGCTGATCATTTTGACGCAGTCCGTCAGAGATTTTCATTTTCTTTGATGAGAATGTGATTGTAAAGACAGCTCTCCTATCTCCAGATGCTTAAAAGTACTCAGTACAACATAGAAAGTTTAACAGTGCTTCTTTGTGAAAGATTTCTCGCTCCTTCACTCCAGTGGTTATTTTCTGATTTGGCCATCAGCCCAGGCAAGGAGATTTTATGGACAGAGTGCTCCATTCTTGGCAAGAGCATTTGTGTAGAAGCCCTCAAGGTGAATATGGTCCTGAATATGAAAGTTTTTAGACTTTCCCTGAATGCTGCTGGTTGTGAAATGGATTGTTGCAGTAGGGATACTGCACATCCTGTGTCAGATGGGAAACTGCTGCTATTGTCAGTTAACAGCTCTGTGATTACTTGCATTCTATGAAAGAGGCACAGAATAAGCAAGTGGCAACCCTGCTGCTTTCTGAGATGAGGCGTGTGGCATGAAGTATTGTGCAAACTCTCTTTGAACAGTGGTTCTGAGAGTTCTCATCTAGTTATTAGAAATAGATGAAGAGGAACCTAAGAGCAGCTGTTGCACCTTTTTCTTAACCTGTCTTAGATGGGTAGAGTTTTAGTATATGTTGTAGTTGTTGACTGTTCACCAAAGATCTGGACCAAGGATTAGTCCTAATTACTTGGTCACAATGCCCAGCAAACTGGGACAAAAGCAGAGGTGAGAGCTGTCAGAAATATTGGAGCTGATCCAGTAGGCTGAAGATGTTGTTGCATTCATCATAGGTGTCTGTAGCTCTTGTGGAAACTCTGATTTCCTCCGTGTGCAGGGAACAGGAGAAATAATAGGTATGAAGCGTTGTGATTATGTTTTGACACCTTAAATGGTCACTACCAGTACCTAGTTTGGCCATTTATGTAACAGTGACTCTAGGTTTTGCCCAGTGACTTCTGCAGCTGGCTGTGAATTTATGAGATTATATTTCAGAATCTGGATCACGATTTTTAAATGAGGAACAGCCATGTTGACAAACAGGCCAGTGTCATGTTTGACTGCACTTACTTTTAGAAACTGAGATTGTCTGCCACATCAAACTTGTTGTCCCCTACTGTGGGATTTGACAGACTCTGGAAACGGGATGGGCCACTCTAAGTGCTTGGAAACGATGACTCCGTCTCTATTAATAAATAAAGTGGTTGTCCTGTGGTTGTGAACGCTGTTGAGCTCATTGTTCAAACAGATTCACTCCCTGCCCCCCACAAAAATAGAGTGGCTATGTCCAGGCTTCCTATCAAGAAAGGTCACTGGCCTGTATTAGCCTGTGAATGCGTGAGAATTGTAGAGGAGGATGTTTGTTGGCCCTGGTGAACACATCTGGGACTGTGCTAACACTTTATTTGTATGGACTCGAGTAGGACCGTGTGGGCCCATGCCCTGCTGCCAATTTGTTTGCTGGTGTGTTTATAGCCAAAGTGAGGAAAATTATGAAATTGGTCAACTCTTACAGTTGTCAAGAAGATCAAACTGTAACAAGATGTTGGAACTCTAAAAGCTCCAAATGTCAAGGGTTCCTGTGGAGGACAGCTCCAGCTGCCGAGCACCCTCCTGTGTCCCAGGCTATTGTTTTGGCATTAACTTGGATGTTGGAGTTCCTCCCATGTTTCACCATTTGCATGGGTATAATTTGCTTGTAGGAATTCTTTCCCAGCACCCACCAAGTCTGTTGTTGCAACTTTTTTCAGTGAAGAGCAGGGAGGCTGCAGCAATCTTGAGCTCTTAAACAAGTCACGTGGAGTTTTTTTAAATCTAAATTTAAATTTCTTCTTTTGGATTTGCACCTTTTTCTAGCAGTGCTTCTCTCAGTGTAATTATGGAGGTATGAATATGCCCATGCTGTCCACGAAGTTGCAGAGATTCTCTAGCATGTGCACTGCTCTTAGGGTTAAATTTGTCAATGAAGAAGCAATGGAAAAATTGTTTATAGTGTTAGTAAGATTATTAATCCCAGAGGGCCTCCTCCCCAAATTTACCTCTGTAGCTAAAGCAAAAGGAAAGAGTTATTTGGAGAAGGGCAACAAACAAGACTGGAGAAATACCTGACTATTAATAGAATTTCTCAGTACATGTGGTTTGCAGAATATAAAAGGTTTTCAGAAGAAAGAGTAGCTAGTATCTGGCATTCTCTGTGTGTAATGAGGACGGGAGAGTTGCTGCAGTTTTTTGGTTTTTTAACTTAACTGAAAACATATGGCAAAGCATACACTAAAAAACTAAACAGACGTGATCAATGTAATATTTCTTCCATGCATTTAGTCAGTAACTGTGTCACTGCTTAGCAGCAATTATAGGTCTTCACTTCCACCTTTGTTCCTGCTCAGTTGTTTT